GTCAGGAACGACAGGCCTCGGATGCGAAGCCGACCATCACCCTCTTGGCGTGGGAATGGGGGCCTGCTCAAGGGACTCTAATTTTTTGGGTGATTTGGAGGGCAAATTAAGCGGTGCCCTTTGGTACGGTTTAGAGCCAGGGTTCAGCTTGCTCAATTTCTAATTTCAAGAGGGATATATTGGTGTGATATATTTTTCAGAAACAGGAATCCGCTACTGGTTAAGTGCTCTTCTATGATATTGCATGTGATCTTTTAAGAATGATGACTTCCTCCTGTAAGAAGATAGCTGTTTTATGTTGTATTTGTGAAATTTGGAACACAATGCTGCCCTTGTCTGACACTTTTTCATGTAAAAGGTGTTTGTTGTTTGTTGTTCAGAATACGTCAGGTCTCACACGAGAGACAGATTCAACATGAAAGTCACGTATTAAATGATACGTTGGGGCAGTAGTAGTAGTTGAGAGAGCTATATATGATCTTCGTTCAAGTGCATTGACTGTGGAGATAAAATTTAGTGATATAAGCGGTATGTTCGCCATTATATGTACACTCATGTTCATAGATGCTCCCAACTCAATAAAACTAACAAATAATCATTTTGGCAGACGGGCTGACATTCAATCGAAATACAGAAGTGGGCATTGTATTGTGCAAACAACGAAAATGACCGGCGTGAAAGAAAAAGTCAGAAACAAAAGGCCAGATGCATGCAAAGGATCGTTAATGAATCTCTTTCAATTTTATAGGTATTTTAAGAATATTTTCATTTTAATTTAAAATGTGATTATCCAATATACCTTAATTGACAAATACAGGGCTTAGTATAAGCGATATATGGCATTTTTCATCACACAAAAAGTGTGTGGTAAAAAGCACATGCCAAAATGATGACTGGCAACATAGAGTAATGTATTTTAGATAACTAGTTCAGCTACAGCTCTGGCAGAATATGCGGGCTTAAGGAAACAACTTTTTAAAAAATATGACATTTAATGCGGGAAGATTTCATTGCCGCAGACAGCACCAAGTGAAACAGAGAAGGCCACTGGAACTTGGAATTTGATCAGACTGGAATTTGATCAGACTTGCGACTCGTGTTTCATCGCAGTATGAAGTATTGGGTTTGGGCTGTAATTTCTGCCTCTCTGACAGTGTTAATTCTGGAGGGAGTAAAATGCCAGACCATTAATGTGCACATTGACAACGGAGCGTTACAGGGAGCGACAGAAACTGTACAAGGGCGCAGAGTGGATGTATTCTTAGGTATACCATTCGCCAAGCCTCCAGTGGGAAATCTCAGGTTTAGATTACCAGAGCCTGCAGAAAACTGGGAAGGTGTTAAAAATGCCACGGCGTTTGGGCCTGCCTGCATGCAAGTTGCATCGAATCCCAACGGCTTTCCCGGTCCGGAGACGGTAATACACATTATATGTACTTCACTAGTTTTTCATAAGTAATTTGATCTCAGAAAAATATGTTTGTCATGAACCATCACATTATAATTGATTACCTCTTGAGGCTGCAACTAAACAAAGAAATATACTTATTGGGGAAATATTACACAAAATCAGTGCGAAGCCTAGAAAATGCTAATTATAATGTGAAACATGATAATGGAAAATCTTTACTTGACATGACCCTTTTGATGACCTAAATTCGCTACACTATGCATTGGTCAAAAAGGTTGTCCCACCTCCAAATTTGAATAAATGTATACTGTCACCGCTTTTTGTATTTTTTGCACCGTTTATCATGTAATAAATGGTATCTGGAATGAAAAACACTGTTTATAACAATGTACACTTGTGAGGTGATTGTTTGTAAATAAAAGCACATGGTGGGACAACCTTTTTCGACTAATAGTGCATTTTGTCGGGAAAAGTGAAGCGTTTCTCTCCGTCCGTCCCTCTCAGACTCTGTCTGCGTAAGTTGTGGTAGTGTGCTTTCTGAAAATGGAGCAGATAAATGATACCGCAAAATCATAATGTTCAGTAGAAACTTAACAACTGTGTGCACAGAGCTTTACTGTCTTTCTCTCTCATCCCATCGCTGCCACCAAATGTTGTTTAATTGAGGGAAATGATATGTTGAAATATATTGCACCAGAATCTGTCATGAACAGGAAATGTATTTCGCATATGTTACGGAGAAGGACTCCAATTATCCGACCGATCAAATATAGTTTATATATCTCCATGCTACCAAACACGAGCCGGTGGTCAGTAAATTTGGTAAACTAACAACTAGTGCGATTCTCAGTTAAAGACTTATTCTGCTCCTTCATTCTCAAGTACAGAAACATACAAGCATGTTTAAGATGCATTTCATCGCAGATTTTTGCAACAAGACCCAACCAAACGCCACCATATTGTTTCAAATAGCATGGCTTAGAAAATATATCAAAGGGCATCGTTTCATATTTCCCGAAGAATGATATGCGGTATGCAATACTAGGAAACCACGCTCGTTATATATGTAAATTTCTTTCTGATCAAATTTTAAAACTGACTACAGTGATAAAAGACGTGGTCGTCCTACATAATTTGTTCTGGGGTATGATACTCCGAAATGCGATCTGACACACACCTTGAAAACGGCTAGTGCACATGGTCCAATATACCGGTCAATTCAGGACCCCTTATGTGTCTGGTAGTTGGGTAGGCCTGCTAATAATTGCATTTTTCACAAAGCACTTTACTATGCAGGTTTCAGAGGATTGCCTGACACTCAACGTTTTTGTTCCTGGATCCACAAACACTTCCAACAATAGGGCAGTAATGGTCTGGATATATGGCGGGGGTTACAACATAGGTGGAACATCCGTATACAGTTTCAAAGAATTTGGTGAGTGAAATGGGACTGGCTGGATGAAGACACCTTTAAAGAAAAAATTCAACCTTCTTCTGAGATAATCTTACAATAACGATATGTTCTTAACCATAATACTTCTATATATTTTCACGAAACGCACCAAATACTGGATTGTTATGCCAGTGCATAGAAAATAGAAAAGCGTACTGCACACACACACACACACACACACACACACACACACGCGATCATGTACCCCTTCACATGCACCCCTATATTTATGCAACCTTTCATTGTACTTTCTGAGTAAGTGAGATCCTTTTTGGCCCTCACTGGATATCACAACCATTTATATGTGTAACGGGTTTGGTCAAATAATCACAACGACGCAGTTATTCTTGTTTCTGTATTCTTTACTGAAACCCTATACGAGTTTCAAGATACGAAACGAAAATATCAATCTTCTCTTACCATAAGTAACCTCGCCAATGAATAAGTCCAGTACTGAAGTTTGAATTTGGCGCTAAACTATACAGATGATCACGTGAGACTTAAAGCGGTAAATATGAATAAAGTCACGTGAGTGAGGAAAGAACGAGATGGCGCTCAAACAAAAGAAGAGCAAATGTTAACAACAAATAAACAAGGAACTAGTCTTGGTTACGTTTCTTAAAGTATTAATCGTCTGTTATTTTTGTGAAGCTGCACATTTATCTTGTAATCTCAAATTTAGACTAAAAAGCGGATCCATTCATATCACTGGTTGTTGGTTATACTTACTTAAAAGTTTGAAGCCTAACCACCAATAAGGAAGATCACATGTTAATCTCTTCCTTTTATCCCTGTTTAGCTGTAACAGGTGACGTCATTGTGGTGTCTATGAACTACCGCCTGAATGCGTTTGGGTTTCTCAGCACTGGTGACGACAGCATACCAAATAATATAGGACTGTGGGACCAAATTGAGGCGCTGAAATGGATCAAGAACAATATCCAGTACTTTGGAGGAGACCCTGGAAGGTATTTGCAGTATATAAGATATACTAATGATGGAAGCTTTTATTTCTCTTGTTGCTTATCAGTTCTTATTTAAAACTGTTGTATAATTTGCATGATATCGGAAATTTAAAAAAAAAAAAACATGCAGATAATTTTAGATATACAATGTACATTTAATAGACTTGGTACTTTAGATGCATGTATGGAACAGTATTGTTGGGTAATGTTGTCGCCCCAAGTACAATTATATAATTTCTAGATTGTTCTTTTTTCTAGCACCTTTTTCTATGATGGTCTTTCAGACCACATCGGTGTGGTGAAGTGCAAAAAACTTCCCTCATCGTACTGCCTGTATTAAAATCGTCATTGGTGTTTTACAGGGTGACGATCTTTGGCGAATCTGCGGGTGGCAGTTGTGTGACACAGTTGGCCCTGACACATGCTTCCTCAGGACTCTTCCACCGCTTGATAAGCCAGAGTGGTGCTGCAAACGCTTATTGGGCAACGTCAGAAAATGGTCCAGAACTTGCTGTGAGGACTGGGAACATTGTTGGCTGTCCAACGGCAAACACCACGGCACTTGTAGATTGTCTTCGCACCATAGAAGCTGGGGAACTCGTAAATGCCAGTGAGCAGGCCACTGTAGGGCTCATTGGATTCTTTTACAGACCTTCAATCGATGGTGTCTTGCTTACTAAACCAATATCAGAGATGTTGAGTGATCCTGTTGTTTTGCAGCGCCTCCGTTCTTTCGACTTTGTTACTGGATTTCTTGATGGAGACGGAGGAGTCTATGTTCTGAATAACTACCCATATGGAATAAATCCGCTTTACTTCCGCGACATATTGATCCCCTTTTGGACAGATTTAGTGTTTGAAAACAGCACGAACATTGTCGACGCAATTAAGAAATTCTACTATGACAAAAACGCCAGCAGTATCGAAGCCGCTCGCGATTATGTCGATTTCCTTTCTGACATTACTTTCACTCAACCGATGTTTAAATTCATGACGTCGTATCTCTCTGAAGAAGGAGGACGCACTTATCTTTACTACTTCATGAGAAAGCCGCTGTATGGAAATGTTATGTCGGGTTCACCATCTTGGTTTCAGAGAGCAAATCACGGAGACGACCTTCATTTTATGATTGGTTCACACGAACCTTTCGTCTCCGGTGCCACTTTCACGGATGATGAGAAGTATTTGTCTAAAATATTGATACAATATTGGTCAAACTTTGCCAAGACTGGGTAAGTTAAACTGAAGAACAAAGTTATGTTGTTGCCTTCTTTTTGGGTGTTGTGATATGACTGAATAAGCTTATAGAGACATCAAACTTTTAACTACTCTGGTGTCATTCTGTACTAATGGCACTGCATGGCAGCAGATAGTCTCTCACGATCATCTTTAAGCCGTTCATATTTTTAGTTCTTATTTGTTTCAGAAATCCAAACATGCCAGAGCCTGTCCCAGCAATATGGGAGGAATACAATGTGAATAAAGAGCACTACCTCGAGTTTGGAGACGTCATAGAGGGAAAGAGGAGTGTCGTTCCAAAACGGGTCAAGTTTTGGATGAAAACCATACCAAGAATTCTTGCTCGTTCAAATTGAGTTTCAAAGCAGTGGGAAAAAACACTGGCCGACATCCTTTCGAGATTTAGCATAGGCTGAATAGTAAAATATCTTTAGTGGTTATTATAGCTTTGGTGGTGAGCGCAATATATACCTATAAATTGTCAGCAGTGAGTAATTCCAGACTTTTGTTTATGACGGAGCTATGATCAGGAGATCATCAGTTCCATTGTGGTATTTAGGGTTTGAATGGAGTTTTTGATTTTACAATATATAACCAAGAATTTCTTTGTGGTTTTGTGGAACACCATTATCATAAAATAAAGGAATCAAATAGTCCTAGAAAAGGTAGTTATGTATGAAGTGACACAGAACAGCTAGCAAAACCAAATTAAATAACACAATACCTAATGTACAGAAACTACAGTGTTTCATTAACCATGACATTGAGGTAAGGATAATATATAATGTGAGCAAAATAATGAAATTCATGTAATTTTGGGGAATGTAGCAATGAAGGACACAAAAAAAGATCATCGAAAACGGTATGTATCACATAAACAGCAAAAGCTAAGGATAAAATTTAAACAGGAAAGTATCAAATAATATGCACAACATGTAGCTTGTCTGATGTAATTAATAAATGACAATGAAGAAAACAAGTTTGTCACCTCAAATTCGTCATTGAAAATAACAACAGAAATGCATTTCGCAGCAAGAGACGAATGCTGACATTGTTATTTTTCAATGATAGACCTATAAATAAACATGTAAAATTACGAGTTTTTAAATAACATATACACATACTGCAGATATTTTAACGTTTTGTTCCCAAACAATAAAAGTAAACTTTGTTGATGATGATGTTTATTCCGTAATTTAAGGCCTCCGACCCAAAAAACATGTACAATTTCACCATAATTTTACCACTAGTAGTAATGTAATTGATCCTTTTATGTACACCGAATAAACGTTAACATATGCATAATAGCTAGTCCTCTTTTTAAATATTTTAAATGATTGAAGCCTTCGTTATAATAGTCATGTTCTTTATCAGCACTGTAAATTAAATTCACTTCACTAGCAACAAATCTCTTCTCGCAATTGCAAATGTTAAAAATCTTGCCAATGAGGATATGCCATCCGTACTTAAAATGTCAGACATAATCAAAGCAAATGATCGTTCACTTTTACTGTTTTGTCCATCTAATTAAGAAATACTGTATCTCTTCCTTAAATCGCTATCCAACAGAGACAGAAGTATTAAGTGTATCTCGTTTGCTAGAGTATAAACTTTCTGAGTCAAACAATATAAGAAAAAATCTGCTTTTTTGTATATTTGTGTGGCGGCTTTTTCTCAATCATGAGACAGTTGCTTGAGCATCGGGAGTTTGATAAAGTACGTTTCTGTATATGAGACAATGGCCATGACAAATATCTTCCTGGATTAAAAACAGTTTTGTACAGTTTTAAAATATGATAAGCATTTTGACGATGAGTTTATATCAGTACACGTCTTTTGTAATGAACAGCCTTTCACTTGTGCCCTGAATTGGTTCATAAACTCAGTAGCACCTAACTCATCCAAGATCCAGACATAGCCGAAACCGTACTGGAAAAGGAGGTGTTTTAAATGGGTCGCCCACGTCGTCCTTCAAGCAAAGTCCAGCTGACGCAACATAATGTAGCATTGTCTTGGGCATCTCCCCGCAGGCATATATATATCAATCTTGTCCAATACATGATACACCTGGAATAACTCGTCCACGATCAAGGCATAGCCGAAACCGTACTGGAAAACAATGTCTTGTTTATACACATATAACAATTTATTTTGTCCAACAAAAGTGATGATAATAAACGGTCAGCAGGAAATAAAGGTCAAGTGTAAACAACATACTTGAATGGGAGCATTTACGATGTGCAACATTTCCGAATTGCAGCAACTTACTAATTCCTGTTATACACTGCAGTGTTCGTCTTTGAAAATCGATTAAGTTAAGCACTACGGTGTATTCATTGCTATTGCTGTGTTCAGATGTACACTAGTCATAATACTTGTGGTGGTTGAGATCTTTAGTGGATACGTGAGAGTGGATCTGCGGATCAAATATGGCGGATCCTACATGAAAGCAATACCGTTGATCCCGTAATGGTATCTGGTTAAGATAAAATAAAAGACTGCACACTGATTCCCCGAGTTATGAATACATGTATACCATAGTCACGTACGCAGTTACCACTTCACTAGGTGAAACGGCACTCGTAGTTGAGTAATCTTCACGTAGATAAAAGCGATATTTTTGCTATTCAATATGGCTGTTGCACTTATGTTATGAATAAATGCATACCATAGCCACGTATGCGGTTACCACGTAGCTAGGTGAAACCACACTCGTCGTTGAGTAAAATATTTACGTAGATAAATGTGATACGTTGCTATTTAAGCTGCCGTTACATTGAAAGTTACATGTATATTTGAGCGGTATTATTTGATTTATATGTAGAATGGAGTCTTGGGTCAAGGTTGTCCTCTATGTCTATCTTGTACTTGTAAATCTGGAGGGAGTGAAATCCCAGATCATTGTGTACATTGACAACGGAGCGTTGCAGGGAGCGACAGAAACTGTACAAGGGCGCAGAGTGGATGTATTCTTAGGTATACCATTCGCCAAGCCTCCAGTGGGAGATCTCAGGTTTAGGTTACCAGAGCCTGCAGAGAACTGGGAAGGTGTTAAAGATGCCACGGCGTTTGGGCCTGCCTGCATGCAAAACTTGCCGAACCCTTTTGGCTTTCCCGATCCTGAGACGGTTAGCATGAGACACATTGTATATGTGCATTTAAAATTTATTTATAGCTAGAATTTTTTTTTATCAAACCTCAGATACCGATGTTCAATAAAACAACGCATTGATGTTTTATTCAGCATAAATCCATCCTGTTTCCAGCAAATCCAATAGAATAAGCAAGAAGAAACATAAATTACCTATGGCTGCCATGATTTACACCATATTTTTAAGATGCAGGGAATTAAATTATCGTAATAATACGATGTACTACAAAGCGCCACCACCAGCATACAGGTCTGAGTGGGGAGGACATTATTGTACTAAACTTCTATTTTTTCGTGAAATTAATCCTTCTCGCCCGTACACTACGTACCCTCGACAGTTATTTGATACACCAATCAGTCAGCATTTGTTCAAAAATTTAAAAATCTTTAAAAATAACTTAAGATATATCTGCTGTTGTAAATATCATGGATGGTAACAAAAATAAAACAATCTTATATATGAATGCAATGCAGCCGATGGGTGCAGCAACACGGAAATAAAATTGAAAGAATTGCTCAAGCAAAGGCAGCTTTTCAAAAAACGAAATCAGTTTTAACGAACAAACATCTATCACTTATCACAAGAAAGAAAGTTTTACAATGTTACATTGAACCTATTCTTATGTATGGATGCAAAGCTTGGGCACTAAGTAAGCAAATGAAAAGGAAAATCGAAATGTGGTTATACAGACGAATGATACGCATACCTTGGACCGATAGAAAAACAAATACAAATGTGTTGAAAGAAGCAGACGCCAAAAGATCGCTCTTTAACAAAATTCGAAAACGACAAGCAAAATATTTCGGCCACCTTATGAGGAATGGGGGTCTTGAGCACCTGACCACTACAGACCAAAATCAATGGGAAAAGGTGCCGCGGAAGACAACGGGAAAAAATCACAGACGGTCTGATATCCTAGGTGGGACCGGAGACGACAGTTGACTTGCTGAGAGCCACTCGAGACCGAGATGTGTGGAGAGACATGATCACCAACGCTGAACAGCAGGGCACTGGATGATGATACTTTATGATCATGATGGGTTTGACAATAACATTTTTCTTTCCAAGTAACATCTATCGAATACATACAGCAGGTAGCAATTGGGGATGCTGTGCCATTACAGTGTTCTATATATAGCGAATATATGAAGGTATCTGAAATGTAACGATATCCTTGAGATGCCTGCATGTGAAAGCAAAAAAAAAAAAAAAAAAAAAAAAAAAAAC